AGAATCAAAATAGTTACTAAAAAAAGAATCTTCCTGTAAATATATATATTCCAATTCCATGTATACAAACATTCCTTTAGAGTTCAGATTGTGAAGAGTGTCTTTATCGGCTAGAGACTGCTGTCTCCCTGGCAGAGGTTACATGTGCTATAGTAAAGAACACAGTGTGTGAAGTATTTGATGTACTGCAGTACCATAGTTCTTTTGGTCTGTTAAGTAAGTTGCAATTTGTGATGAAATGAAGTTGAAAGTAGTGCTTCATACTAACAAATTTCCTTGGTTACAACTTGATTTTTCTTGTAAAACTTAAAAGGAAAACTTGAAAATTTTATATATTTGGATTTTGTAGATTTTTTTTATTTTATTGCAACACAAGGTACCAAAATCATTAAATAAAGTACACTGTGGTCATTTTACCATGGCTCTAGAGTCTTCTTTAAAAACTCTCTTAAAATGGTGGATCAGCAAAAGATGTCATCTTTCAACATTATTCCTGAACAAGACTGAAGCTGGCCTTGTTTTGACAAAGAATTGGCCTATGATCTGCAAAGAGCCTTCCCACCTCTAATTATTCTACAATACAGTCAATAATATCATCAAAGGAGCCCTGTGTCCGAGCACAGGAGTGGCGTGAGCAGTTGCTAAGCCACTTCTGGTTGCTGTAGAAGATTTGACAGATCCCTATGGATGTGGATAACTTTACCAGTGGTGTCACAGCAGAGACCCCAAGGAAGCCACCAGACAGCCTATGGGCACTTCACCCCAAGAGCAACAGAGCAGAGTGCTCTGGGCACCCAGGTCAGGGCCCTGAGTGATGTTTGGAAGGAAGGCCTCCCAAAAAGCTGCCCATGGAGCAGGCCTATACTCCTCAGCCCTGTGGAGGGCACAGACCTTGCTGCCAGGCAGTAAGGATGCTCTCTGGGAAAGGGGGAGATTTCTGGACTGTGGTTCTCATGGCTCTTGAAGCATTTCAGCCACAAGGAATACAGAGTGAGGAGTGCAGAAACCCAGAACTCCTCCAGCACCTGAAACGGCTCACAGGGAACAGGAGACAGTGCGCTGCTGTTTTCATCCTCTCTTCTGTCTCCTGAAAGCATCAGTACCTACCAAGCAGTGATCCCCATGCACCAGAGGGCAAGGGAGTGACGGGCCTCACCCAGCCTCATCCTGAACACAGTAGCTAGGAGAAACTCCAGGGAAGATGCAGCTTCCTTGATCTTCCTGTGTTCAAATCCCCTGGGGTTGAGGAGAGTTTAGTTTCTTCTCCTCTTGCCAAGTGCTTTAATTATTAGATCATTACACAAGTTGTTCTGATTTTGGCAGCATTTCCAATGGTCTTAATATCCCTCCAGGGCTTCATTGCTACATTTGGGCATGTAATGTCACCTCAAACAGCACCAGGAGTATGTGCAAGGAAGGACAGTACCCAAACCCATCAGCCCTTCTGTTCCTTAGCCATGCCCCTACTCCTTCTTAAATGCTTCTTCTTGGCCTATCTGAGGGGACCAAGAGAGTGCAGGGAAAACAACCCATCAAACACTAAATAATTACTGTGAGTCCAGAGAAAGGAGATATATCTACTATCTACCTAGATAGATATATACCATGGGTAACTGAATTTGCTGACTACATATCTTGTAGTTTGGCTAAAGATAAAGCAGTTTGTTATTGTAGATTGGCAAAGTGCAATGGGAGGAGGAGCCCTCCAACAACACAACTGGTAACTGCCCTATTTCACAAGAGTTATAAATCCTCAGACTCTGTAACCCTGCAAATCCCCATCAAGGAAACAAACAAACAAAACCACACACACACACACACACACACCAAAAAAAAAAAAAAAAAAAACACCAGAAAGAGACATGCTCATAAAAACACTTTCTTACTTTCTTAACCAATCATGTGAATCAGGCACAGAAGACATCAAAGCCACAATCTTGAGTACTGGAAAGTCATTTGATGATATCCCATAATTTTATAATTGGTGAGGTGGGTGAGGTAAAAGAGCATTTAGTGGGTGAGTAGCTTGGTGTGGGACTACGTACCTTGGGGTAAAAGGGATTGAATTGCCATATTTTTTAGGCAAATTATTGACCACTGATGCAAAAGCCTTCTCCAGGAAGTTTTTAATGTAAGCTTGTGACATGTAAGAAGCAAAGCAGTTTCTTTTCAAGCTAAACAGTGATAACAGACAGTTTAAATAGTTTCTAAATAAAGGAAAGAAGTGGAGGAGTTTTTACAGGCTGCTTGAACAGTGCTTCTTCAGAGCAGTTCTCATCTCTTCTGACTTAAAAAAAAAAAAAAAAGAGAGAGACAAATGGCTATGGTTCCTGTAGAAAAACATGCTGATAAACTAAATATAGAGACTTGGTAATAAAAGCCCCAAGTACCTTGGCAAAATTATCCAAATATGTTTTTTCTCCTATTTAGTTCATATGTAGCTAACACTACATTCACTCAGTTAACATAGCTCATAAAGTACACACAGACCCATTTGTATGAGAAGGAGCTTTATCTGCCTACCACCACAATGGGAATCTTGGATAGGCTGAGCAGAGATGGACAGTTCTTTTCCTGTGTATTGCACAGTTATAAAACACATCTCGTCAGTAAATTCTGTGCTATAGAAATGAGACAGGAAAGTAGGAAAGTGCTATACTGTACAGTTTGTTTGCTGTGGCAGCACTTCAGACCCGTGGTCAGACATACCAGCTCATGCATATCGTAGACTTTGCATTCATTCTTAAGCACTCAATTTTTCCCACTTGGAAAGATTTCTCATTCATCGGAAGCTATATACAAAACTGAAGACTTGTTCCTAGTGGGTCTTCCAGCAATCAAGTCATTTCTTTTCAGTCAGGTTCTAATTAAGTGCTGTGAGCATAAGCTGTACTGCCCTGAGCACACCAATAAGCACAGTAAGGGTTACCAACCATTGTGTTACTGCCATACGTGCATTGTTAACCAAGCAGATCAGCTCAGAGAGAGACAGCAATTCAACAATAAGGTCTCAAAATGTGGAAGGATAAGCTTATGTACTCTATTATTATAAATAAGGAAACTGAGCAAATGGATTATTACTGATATGTGGACTCCTGCGATTCTTCTCCAAGCAATCTCAAAGTTTTAAGCAAGTTAGCCTTATATTGATTTTAAATTTTTGGTATCTCTAAAGTACAGATTTGGAATTTGATCAATTCCACTGCTGCACAAAAGAAAAAAAGAAAAAAAAAAAAAAAGACAATAAAATTAAAGGGAAAGTTGTCTGAGCATGGTCCTGGTGCCAGAAGCATCTGCTTTTCCTGTTGGTCGTCTCCATCTATTTCTGACTTAGATTGTCATTGAGGCTCTGGGCTCACAACATGCACAGCAGGGATGTTCGTTTCCACCCGCAGTCAGCAACAAAAAGTCACTGGGCAATGATGTCTGCGGGGAATGAGTGGTTCAGCTGGAGCTTGCTCTGCCATCATTCTGGAGGGTGGTCAGCGCTTGCAGTTCCAGCACTCTCAGATAGGACCCAGCTCTGAAAAATGCAGCCCTTGTTTTTCAGACTGAATACTCACAGTGTCTCTATGATCAGATTAGAGGCTGCTTTTGGAAAAATAGGTTTTGACTGCTGCATCTGCCAGCTGCTTTTTCCCAAGGAGACAACTCACATCGACTTGTAAAAGGTGTTGTCGTGAGTGATGAGCTAATTCTGAAACTTACTCTGAAGCAAATTCTACCAAATAAGTAATTCTGCTGTTCCCCTGATATCAGAGGCTGCCTAGAACACAGCGTTTATTTTCTCACTTTGCAGCACACCAGCTATTTCACAGCTCGCAGTCACATGAGAGCAGCACGGAACATCTGGAGGCTCCTTCAGATGGAGTGGGCAGCATTATGCAAAGCACACCTTCCTTATTGCACATTTGTTCCTACCCATCTTTCTTTTCTCTCAGATGATTTTGTAACTTTTCCAAGAATTTCCCTTTGAGGCTTTCTCTTTTTGTTTGTTTGTTTGTTTGTTCATTTACTTTAAAGGCCTGTTTGGTATTTGTTTTTGTGCTTTCCTTTGGGAATCTGGTTTTGCTTGGGGCTGTGCTTGCCATCTGTTACATCTGAGTCTTCATTTCAAATGCTGTCATGCTGTCACCTTCTCACGGTGATCTTGATTCCAGCCCTCCACGCCAGCGCAGAGTGGGAAAAGAAGCTACGAGGTTACCTTGTGCCTATGTGGCATTTGGCCAGAGGTCTCGTGTCCTCAGGAGTGTCCTACCAACGTCCTGATAGCAGCAGGAAACTTGTCCACAGATCAGTTCCTCTGGCTGGTCAGAGTGCTCTGGTAGGTATCCTGTGTCACCGTTTGCCCCCAGCTTCATCTCAGGGTCTTTTCTGCTGACATGCAAATTCTTGGACTTTGATATGCCACTTCACTTATCATCATATCTAAAAAAATGAAATAAAATGTAGCATTTAAAAATATATATGTGTCATGCTTTTATGTTTTTTTGATTTTCAGTATTCCACATCAAAACATCATGTACTGGAATTAAAGTGTTAATGCTCC